CCCATTAACGGTAGGCGGCGGGCCACCATCTTCGTGGCTTCCTCGAGTGCCCGGCTGCCTCCACTTATCGATGTCTCGATGCTCGCGATTGCGAGGCGGCGGTAATGGTCCAGGACCTGGTCTCTCCTGGTTACCGATGTGGACAATCGCTCGACCCGTAAGTGGTGGCCTTCTACGTGAGATTTTTAACACTAGAACTATCCTGAACGCAATTAATGTATATTGTTTTATAAGAATGTCGAAACTTCGTTCTATTTACAAATGTTAACTATTTTTACGTTAACTGTTTTATTTTCAATTATAACTATTTTTATGTTAATCGTTTTATTTTCAATTATAATTATTTTTATGTTAATCGTTTTATTTTCAGTTTTAACTATTTTTATGTTAACTGCTTTATTTTCAATTCTAACTATTTTTATGTTAATCGTTTTATTTTCAATTATAAGTATTTTTATGTTAATCGTTTTATTTTCAGTTTTAACTATTTTTATGTTAACTGCTTTATTTTCAATTCTAACTATTTTTATGTTAATCGTTTTATTTTCAATTATAAGTATTTTTATGTTAATCGTTTTATTTTCAGTTTTAACTATTTTTATGTTAACTGCTTTATTTTCAATTCTAACTATTTTTATGTTAATCGTTTTATTTTCAATTTTAACAATCATTATGTTAACTGTTTTATTTTCAATTATAATTATTTTTATGTTAATCATTTTATTTTCAATTATAACTATTTTTATGTTAATTCTTTTATTTTCAATTTTAACTATTTTAAGAAAATGAATTTTACTTTCAATATGATGTATTCGATAAAAATCAATATTTTCTCCAATCTTAACCTTTTTATAAAAATCGGTTTCACATTAAACTTTATTTATACATTATAAAATCTGACCAAACTTCCAATTATGTTTCTTGTATCGTTCTATAAATTATTTTTCATCCGCAACAAATGTTTCACCCGCGATTTTATTTAATCCATGAAAATCGATTGTACATTTCTTTCCAAAATTCTCAAAAATTAGCATCGACCAGCTTCAGTTCGCGACCTATTAGGTATTTTGATTCACTGTACCTTCCGTGCCCTAAGTCTCAGTTCACAGGAAGGTCGATTGAACCCGAAGTGAACTTCGGAAAGATCATCCTCGAAGCAAAATCCCCGTAAGTTCGTCAAACGAAAGGTTTTATCCGGCGTGCGACGAACCTAATAGCTTCAGTTTGCAAACTGTTCAGATTCTGTTACGGTCATGAGGGTGAGCGTAGCTTGCGAATGATTCCGCTGGTTAAGCAGAGATGCTCTCTCCGATCCATCCGAGACGTTCCCCGTCATCGTTACCTTTAGCATTCGACGCGGAAACTTAGGCGACGCGAGTTCGAGGCTTCTCGAAGACGTAACTCTCGGCTGTCTCTTGATTCAGCCGGCTTCTATTTGATGTTTTCCGGTGCTTTTCTCTTAGCCGATTCAGAGTCCTGTTGATCCAACGGGAACCTCTAACTTCGGGGCTTGCCTAGACTGCAACGTCTGTACATAATTGATCGAACCGATGCTTCCCGGAATGGTGAACATGAGAGTGGGACAAAGAGAGGTTGATCTAATAGCTAGGATTTTTATAGATTTTCATAGATTTTTGTGGATTTTAGAGATTATTGATTTATAGATTTTACAGATCTTTGCGCGCCGGGTGCATAAATGAAAATTATCTAATTTCTGTATTCTCAATTTTAAAGAAACATCGTCATCGCAATTCGATCTTCCACTTCTTGATAATCCCTCCCCTCTTCTCCTTTTCTAATCATTTTTTTCATTTTGCTAATCCCAGTATCTGTTTGTTTTAACGATCTCTAAATATTATTATTATATTATAAAAACGAGCCGGAGGGCTCATACAATCGTATCTCCTCTTCCCAAATTGTCCATTTTTCCATTTTCCCCCAATTAGGGAGAAATCACGTACCAAATGCGGCGTCGCGCCAATTCCAAGAATGCTTGAAATTCGTCACCTTCGAACGCGTGTAACTTTCGAACCAATGATTTGCGCGCCTTGGGACTTGAATTTTTCGCGTTCTCCCGGCAAAATCTACGGAAACGTACATAAAAGAGCGAAAAATCTCTGGACCCCTAAAGTAAAGTTTAGCCTTATCTCGAAAGTATCTAAAGCTGTCTCGAGGCATCTGGAGGTATCCAAAGCTCTCCGTCCCTGTCTAGAGCAACGAAAAGCCATCCACGCTGATCCAGAACGAAACGTCTCGCCGCAGATCCCCGTGAAACATTCCAAGGCAATACTTTCCCACTTGATCCACGGGACAACGTTCGGAACAGCTGGCCAGTCAGTTCTCGCCGAGACATCGATCCGTCTGTCCGTCGTGTCGCGACATCCGACACTGAAGTCTGAATAGAAGCCATTCTACCGCGACATTGTAACGACTCGATCGAACCAGTATCGCAACGGTCGAGCGACCTCGCAATGCCGGCGACTACCGCGAGAAATTGTTTCGCAAAGTAGTTCGCACAGGTGGTGCCGGACGATTCGGTCTTGCTTCGAGGGACATTTCTATTTTCCTTCCAGCTCCTCTCTCCCTACGCCTCGGCCCCCCTCGCCCACCGCCTCCGCGCCCCACTCTCTCCCTCGACTGGATCGCGCCGCGCCGCGTTCTTCCTTGTTCTCACCATTGTTCGCGAGACGCCAGTCAAACTTGATGAATCTTTCATGCGAACGGCCGAAACCTGATGGAATTTCTTACGGCACTTCGGAAAAGTTCCGGCCCGGAAGAAAAAGGCTCTCTCTAACATCGGCCCGGGTCCTTGTTTTCCGCCGACCCCGCGCTCCACGGTTCGCTCTACCTTGCCGAATTTCACTTTGCCGGTTATCGAGGCGGAGGGGCCAATTACTGTGCCCCCGATAGCAGCCTTCCGAAGTTTTCGCCGCTAAACGGAACTTTAGCAATTCAACCCTTTGCAGTCGGAGACATTTTAACGCGAAATTCAAAATGGTCCTCCGGGTCTATTAGTATTTCCATTTTATACGCATTTTATAAGTATTTTACGCGCATTTTATACGTATTTTGTACGTATTTTATACGTATTTTATACATATTTTATTCGTGTTTTATACGTATTTTATTCGTATTTTATACGTATTTTATACGTATTGGTGCATTTTATTCGCATGAAATTCAATTTCGCGACTCGTGCTATAGTTACGCTACCAACAATTCTTTTTTTTTTAATATAAACAAATTTGATAACGTTAAAATTATTCTCGAAAGTGATGTAACAATTTTTAACGGTTGCTTCAGAGTCGCCACTCGACCGCGGAGGCTTAAATAACATTTTTTAAGGACTCAGAAGTAAATTTCAAGGTTTCTTTTATCGACAGCATTAAATAAACAATTCTGAATTGTCTCGCGTTAATTGGAGAATTTTGCACAATGCCTGCACCTTAATGCACCTTAATAATTAGTTTACTTCCTTTTAGGCCATCTCTTGAAGAAGATCAATCGTTCGTTATTATTATTATTGTCAATTATTGTTTTTCGTTTTTTTCCCCTTTGCTGCCATTTCATTTGCATTCATTATCATCATTATTTCTACTTCTTCGTTTTTTTACAACATATTTCTTTCTTTCCCTTTTCGTCCCTATTGTTCCAAAGGGATTTTCCCTGTTTATACATATAAAGGGTGTTTCGATTGGGTTGAAGCTGCGAGAAAAATGTTCGTACAAAATTTGTTCAGCATAAAAAGCTGTGTCGCGCAGTATTAACAATTTCTTCATTCGTGTAACGGTGGAGGATAATTTCGAGGTCAACTTGACTTTTTAAAATCAGCCTATAAATTGTCTTATTCGTATCACGACTGTACTCGGTTGAAGAAAATAAATATTGTTATTATTATTATCATCGAAAATTGTTACATTGCGCGCGCGACTCGTTAAAATTACGAATAAAATTATTTGAACTGTTTTATAAAGTTCAATCGAGGTTTCGTACGTACTTGATTACGCGGACGAGCATTGCAGAGCCATCGTTGGCCGCGGTGAATATCTTTTCTCATTGCGCGATTGTGCGGGCGCCGGTTTTCACGGGCGATGTTTAACATTGTATTCGGAGCTGTCCGGTTGGAAATTAATTTGCAACCGGGCGGAGCTGGGTAACAAGTGTCGAAAGCGATCGATCCGAGGAAAATAACCGGTGAAAATTGTCAACACGGTAGACCGCGTAAAAACTGATGGCCGGGCCGCGGAAAGAATTAATTGTAAGGTTGACGTTGACGCACGAAATCCTGGCCGCAGAACGATCCTTTGACGGTAAAATGTCTGGTAGCGCTAGGCCGAAGGACAGGCCAGCGTTGCTGAGTGATTGATGACACTTGTAATTAAACACGTGGCCCGTGACTCCCCTATCGGTATCATTAAACGGACCCGCGGATATTGTGTTATATGTATAGATATATGTATATATACAATGTACACGTACGCGTACGTGTGTGTATTATATGTGTACATAGGTGTTTTTGCTGGTTTTTTGTTCACTTAATAACGAGCATTTAATGGTAACAAACGAACGAAACTGTGCCGGACGTGGTATTATCGATAGGAATGATCGACCGCTGGCAGCTGACAAATATTTACTGTCATTCGGTTCGCTTGGATATAACGTGTTCGCCCCAGATGACGGGAATTCTGTGAATTATAGCAATTCGAACGTCCGTATAATAGAAATCAATTGTACCGCCTCTCGTATTACTGTATTTTTCGATGTTTATTCGGTATCGTTCGCGTAACCATCTCCGTAATTGGCGAATTTCAGATATATTTTTAAATTGCATTTATATTTTTCAGTCGCCGCAAAAAATTCTGCGAATCATGGGCACGAAAGTAATATGTCTGTCTCTTATACACATCTTTTAGTTTAGTTAATGTAACAAGCTGTAATAGGAAAACAGCCGTAATTGGCGAATTTCAGATATATTTTTAAATTGCATTTATATTTTTCAGTCGCCGCAAAAAATTCTGCGAATCATGGGCACGAAAGTAATATGTACCGAAAATGGAGAAGAGGCAACAGTCTCAAACGAAGTTAGTATTACAGTATTTTCTCTTGTTGTTTTTAGTACAGTTGGTACAGAAATTCCTGGTAGGAGAATTTCAAAAATGTTTAAAAATCGGTTTACCATTATTTTAGCATCGAAGTTTTGTGAATTATGAGCAATAATAATAAATATTATTTAGTTTAGTTAACGTAACAAGCTGTAATAGGTAACCATCCGTAATTGGCGAATTTCAGATATATTTTTAAGTTGCATTTATATTTTTCAGTCGCCGCAAAAAATTCTGCGAATCATGGGCACGAAAGTAATATGTACCGAAACTGGAGAAGAGGCAACAGTCTTAAACGAAGTTAGTATTACAGTATTTTCTCTTGTTGTTTTTAGTACAGTTGGCACAGAAATTCCTGATAGGAGAATTTCAAAAAATATTTAAAAATCGGTTTACCATTATTTTAGCATCGAAGTCTTGTGAATTACGAGCAATAAAAATATAAATGATATAACGGTATCAAAAGAAGCTAGTATTACAGTATTTTTCAATATTATTTAGTTTAGTTAATGTAACAAGCTGTAATTGGCGAGTTCAAATCATTTTCGAAATAGTTTCTTCTTCTTTTATTATAAAAATCTATATATATCATGTAATTATTATAATTACTATAAAAGTCTCAAACGGAGTTAGTAGATTTTAATATCAAAGTTTAATTATTGTTTTATCAGTAAAATTTTCCAATCGTTGATTTACTTACCTACGTATTTATTTATATGAACATCTGATACAGGTATATTACTATTCGATTTAATGTACCACTTAATTTAATAGCGTTTAGTACTATTCTATCGTTTTATTTATCGCACTGCTTGTACGATTAATGAAATTATCTTTTACATAAATATCAAGTACGTTTGCAGTGTTATTAATAATTTTGCAATATTAATTTTGTACGTTCGCAGGCAGAAAATATTCAGTCCAATGATTTATCGAGCAAATTAATTTGCGATATAATATCGATGATAAACTACAAGTATCTGGAATGTTCATTTAATCAGGAATTTATTTACGGCGATGATAATACGGTAATTTGACGATGTGCAAAATTACGTGATTATATCGCAATTAAATTGCTCGGGGCATCACCGTGTGCACGGTAAACTTTGTAATATAAAGTATTATGTTTTTATTTCGTTATCGAATCATTGCTCGAAATTGTGATCACACGAAAATATTTCTAATTTGACATTTTCATCTATTTCATTATTTATTTATTTTATCTTCGATTTTAACTGTTTCATAAAAATTGGTTTTACTTTCCATTTTACCTATTTCATAAAAATTAATTTTGCTTTCAAATGTGAACTATTTTATACAAATTGGTTTCACACTTTCGAACGTAAACTGTTTCATAAAAATTGGCTTTACTTTCGAATGTACACTATTTTATAAATTTACTTTCAAATTTTACTATTTTATACAAATTGGTTTTACTTTCAATTGTAACTATTTCATAAAAATCGGATTTACTTCCAATGTTAACTATCTCACAAAAATTATTTTCACTTTCAGTTCGATGTTATTTGATCGAATCTGAATATACTTTTAATTGTATCAAACTGTCACAAAAGTTGTCCTACGAATTGTTTTCATTTTACAATTATGTTCTTACATTTCTACCAAAATACACCCTAAAAATTCCCAAAACAAGCTCAACTGATTCCCAACAATTTGAATAATTTTTCAGCGATGCACATCGCAAAAACTCAAAAATCAATTTCACAAAAATGATCCCGAACTGCAAAAGTCCGATTTCAAAAAAAATGTCAACCTTTTCAGCTTCCTCCCGAAATGCTTGCTCTTAAAACCAGCCTAAACGAAGAAAAAGCGGTAGCTCATCAAGGCTCGCAATTAGTCGTTCCAAGGATGTGCAAAACGTGGAAAAAACGGCCGGTAAGAGATGGTATCTGGCGTGGCAATTGTCCGATCGCCGAAGAAGCATCTATGGTGAAAATGCCGGAGGAAGAGAGGTGTCACATAAGCGCGACAAATGAGCGGCAATTAACGGAGGCAGCGCCGCGAGACGCGGGTCCCGTCTTTGTCGGACCGCGTGATCGCGGATACGACGTGTTTACGATTAGGAGCGAACGACAATAATGCCTCTCCCGCTCGCCTAATTACACCCGGGCTGGCCGAGCGACGGTTTCACGGCGGGAAAGAGATTCGCGCTGGCCGGCTCATTAATGGAGACAGCCGGCACGCCGGAAGACGTTTTGCACCGATCCCCGCGAAATTCTTTCTATTCCCGAAGAAACGCTGGTCACTTGTCTCGCCACCAGCCTCGACCGCTGAACATTTTTATTCGGGGAAAAAAAAGGAGGGCACGAATAAAGATGATGATTAACCGGCAAAAATCGTAATTCGCTGAGTGGCTCTCCGAGGTCTAATGATAGAGTTTTAGTCCCGATGCCGCAGGCTTTGCATTATCTTTCTGCTACTATGTCTGATTCCGCGTGCATATGTAGAGCAGTTTTAGTTTGCTGCAGTGCGAAGGTGTGTCTCCGCGTGTGTTTTATGCACCCGGATAAATAATACGTAGACGCTTTTCAAAGCTACTTAAAAGTTTTATCGAATTGAACCGTACGAAGCGAATAGTTTCGAGATGCTGCAAGAAATAGTTTATTAGACAATGTGTAAAATATCGTTGCAGAAATTGCGATTAGGCGGAACGGCATTTTTATTATTATTTATATATTATTTATTGTATAGAGAGATGTACATATAATAGAATTATATGTTTTGTATATTATTATCTCCAATTATTCTTTGTCTTATTCCAGTCAATTGTTATTTTTTGAAAGATTATTTCATGCTTTGTCCTTCAAATTTGAACTTCCATTTTATTATTTATATATTGTTTATTGTATAGAGAGATATACATATAATATAATTATATATTTTGTATATTATTATCTCCAATTATTCTTTGTCTTATTCCAGTCAATTGTTATTTTTTGAAAGATTATTTCATGCTTTGTCCTTCAAATTTGAACTTCCATTTTATTATTTATATATTGTTTATTGTATAGAGAGATATACATATAATATAATTATATATTTTGTATATTATTATCTCCAATTATTCTTTGTCTTATTCCAGTCAATTGTTATTTTTTGAAAGATTATTTCATGCTTTGTCCTTCAAATTTGAACTTCCATTTTATTATTTATATATTGTTTATTGTATAGAGAGATATACATATAATATAATTATATATTTTGTATATTATTATCTCCAATTATTCTTTGTCTTATTCCAGTCAATTGTTATTTTTTGAAAGATTATTTCATGCTTTGTCCTTCAAATTTGAACTTCCATTTTATTATTTATATATTGTTTATTGTATAGAGAGATATACATATAATATAATTATATATTTTGTATATTATTATCTCCAATTATTCTTTGTCTTATTCCAGTCAATTGTTATTTTTTGAAAGATTATTTCATGCTTTGTCCTTCAAATTTGAACTTCCATTTTATTATTTATAT